CCTCAAATTGCGTCCGCAGCACGTTCACGTCCTGTGCTCTCCCGCCACCTGGTGGTGAGAGGTTAACTCCGGATACACGGAAATTCAAGCCATCCTTTCCTTTCTGCTTTTCCTTTGTGGTTAACAACTCAGAGCGTCTGGTCAGTGTGAAAATGTACAAGGTGCGCTTTTTAAAGAGGCATAAAAACGGGGAAAATGCATGAACAAAGGCTGCTGCCAAATTGTGCCTTCGTGCCTTACCCGGCAGGCGCCTTACCTGGAGAGTGGGGGTTAGAGCGGTCCATCCCAGTGATGCCTCTGAGGCTGATGCGGACCTGAAGGCCACTGGAGGTAATGTTCTCCTCAGAGTGGGTTTGCTGGAACCATGCTCCTGTCCCGACTCTAGGGCTGGGGCTTCCTGGGGTTGGCACCTTCTTTAACCGATGATCCAAGGTAAGGTTGGAGAAATCATATCCTATATCCTGAAACACTGTGATAGGAAAAAGACATTCCGTCAACACTGTTTACTTACAAGGATAGTCACTGATCGATGAGTATTCTTAACCATGGGAGCTAGGGTTTACTTTTCATCTTACAAAGAAGCCGTGTGAACTGAAATTGACAAAATGATGCACCCTTATGGCATTCCGGCTTACTGGCCTTTGGGGCGCAACTGTGCCCTTGTTTAAATCATGCACATTCTGTATTCACTCTTAGAGACTGGGGCTGGGAAAGAATGTGACTATATACGGCTGTGGGGTGAGAAGAGAGAACATGTAGAAAGTACGATTATATCTGTTGATTTATATCAGCCGGAAAGAAGGCCAGGGAGAAAGATTCAGGTGCGTGGGCAGCAGGTATGGGGTTGCAGGAGAGACCGCTGTCCACAGCATCCATGGGGAATCTATCAATAACAAAAAATGGCTCTAAATTTGTGCATTTATATGTTGACGGCAATAAGCAAAATGAAATTTTTGACCATGTTTGGAATTCATGAAAGAGGTTTGTGACCATTATATTAAGAATGGCAAAGCAATGGCAGCAGGAAGAGTGGAATTGTTCTTTTAACTATTAAGTGCTGATTCTAAATGTTTTAGCCTTTTAAATATAGTTTTAGAAAGAAGCTCATTTAACTGCTATTTCATTTATACCGACCGATGAAGTTTTAAATCAAACCTAGCCATTGTTTTATTATTCAAGTAGTTATCTAAACAGTGTTTCACCAACCTTGAAGCTACTTGGAGTGTGAGAAATTTTAATACTTATTTAATTGGGAAAAACTAACAGGTTTAATTCTCATTAAGAATTCTTACTTTCTTCTCTTTCTAGAAATTTGAGGACAGTAAGTAGAGAATGAGTAGAACTGTGAGTCTTGAATCTCATTTCATCCGGCCCCAGAAACAGTCAGAGAACATTCTGTACTGAAAAAAAACCTAATTTCTTTATTTAAAAGATATTTTTAATTTCAAGTTTTTCTTTTGAAAGAGCCTTTTGCCTTTGGTTTCCATATACAATTGGAGGACTACAGAACACACACACAATTTTTTATACTCTCTCTCTCTCTCTCTATATATATATATATGTTGTATTTTTTCAATAGGTTTAAGGCAATGAAAAAACAGGGCACTGTGAGATACCATATATTTGAGGCAGCGAAGAAGAGGCGGCGAAGGTGGGACTATGAGACGGAGCCGTGCCTGACAACAGGCAGGAAAAGCACACAAGGAAGTCGTCCTCCTTCTGAAGAAGAGTGGGCCCCAATTTGGTCCTGAGTTTTTCCAGCAGCCTGCACAAAGAGGGAAACTTGATCAGGTACATGAGTCACACTGTCCATAAAACCGGAGCAGAACAACTGCTCTGGCTGAGCGCCGTGTTCAGTCTCTGAAGTTGCTCGCTTTGGTTGAATGTTCTCACCTCGAGCTGGGCAAGCGCCTGGCCTAAGTGATTATTTGGAAGGAACCAAAAAAGTTATCTTTCCTCTGAAAAGCACAGCCTCTGAGACTCCGTGAGTGTGTAAGGAGAGATCCAGCGGGGCTGAGAGTTAACAGCTTTCTTTAATCACAGTTTTAAAACTGATTTCTCCTAGAAATTGAAGATTACTTTCTGGGTTACATGAGAGGAGAATTTAAACACTGGTAATAAACAAAAAGTACAGGGAAAAGAGGAATTAAAAAAAAAAGTCACCCTCAATACAGAGAACTATAAGTGGAGAAATTCAGCCCGTACTATATTTGAAACAAGCAGCACCTGATTTAATATTCCTAAAATCTTGAGGAGGTTAGGCCTGGGGCACCGTCTGAGAACATTTCTGCCTTTGGCTTTACCATATTATGTGTAGCAGAGTCAGGAATGGATGCTGAAGGCCCCAGCTCTGCCTTCAAAAGTCAGGATGACTCTAAGTCAGTCACTCCTCTTTTCCTGCAAGATGCAAGGGTATCAAAGTTGGTGGTTGTGGGAGGGGAGGCAGAATCACACAGATTCTAACCATGGAGGCATACTTGGGCCTCCACCTGTGAAATGTTCCCTGGATAAAACGTTTTTCCTGGGCTCAGGGTTGGAACAGTAAATGTCACCACCAGATGGCAGGAGTGCACGCTGCATAAATGCAGCAGCCACACACCCTTTTTTCTCTGTCTTCCAACAGCAAACTCTCCACTAGATGACAGCAACGTGAATATAATTTGAATACCTTTTAATGGGTTATGTTAAAAAAATGATTTAAATTATTTTAAATCTGAGAGCAGCACTTTAAAAAAAGTATCCACAGTTGGGATTTTTTTTCCTCTAGGTGATTACTATTCTTTTTGCTTCTAGACCTCCCATACACTAACCTAATATACAAAAATAAAACACCCCCAACATTTTTGGGGTGCACATTTTATAGAACCTGGGAAAGATCACTATTTGAAACCATTATAAGTTAAGCGTTTTTGACTCCCAGACTCTTACCACAATTAAAAATTTTTAAAAAAGAATTGATTAAAATGGTCACTTCTTTGAAGATCATTATTATTTGCTGACCACCTACTATGTGCCAAGGATTGTACTTCAATGCTTTTAAAGCATTTGTTCAATGAATCGGAATGGAGGTTTTTAAGAAAGCCCAGATTTGAATTTAAGCCTGGTTTGGGCCATTATCTCTGTATTTTCATGATTTTATTATGCTTTTTCTGCTTGAGCCATTTTCAAATCCCATACTGAAGGAGAAATTGGCACTGCCTTCACGGTATGATTTTAAGTACATGCCCGAATGTATTCTCTCTACTTACGACTTTCCCTCTCTGTAGATGCACTACATTAACCCAATGAGATGCAATAATATATTTTGATTCTTCAGTTACCTTGAAGGCTGAAAATGAAGACTGGTTTGAAAACAATGGCAGTGTAATAAACTCACTCATGCTGAGAGAGAAGTGACTGGAGAGAACAGCAGAGGAGACGAAAGGATGGCGAGAGCGAGCAGGGAGCGCTAGGTACCTGACCGGGCTGGAGAGAAGGTAGGAGATGAGGCCAGAAGGCCAGGAGTGCGGATGGGCAGCTTCACACCTCTCCGATGGTTACCCCTGCTTCATGACTTTTGAGGTTTGCTTGTACGTGGTCCCGGACAGCCAGGTGTGACCTGGTGCAGCAGAAGAGCTTTCCGCGTGGAGCAGAGACCCGAATATTTTTGAATCCCTTAAAGACAAACAGGGAACACTTGAGCTTTGAAAACAGTAACATCAAGTGGTCGTCTACGAGGCACCAGCGGTGAGAGGGAGCCTCCCCTCGGGAAGCCCCAGGACCTTCGATTTTTCTTAATTCAGTTCTAAATGGGACTAGAACCAACACAGAGCAAAGGAGGAGTAAGAAGTCAAGGACAAACATGCTTAAGACAATTTTTGTGCACAATGATTTTATTGTACAGTTACGCTGCACTTTAATGTAATGTATTTCAAAGATCTTTAAGAGAAATACAACAAAACGATATGGCAACCCCAAAGGGCACAACCTGATGAGAAGAGGAGAAAGTCCCTGTTATGTTTCTGCCCAAGAGAGTCTGGGGGTGGGGAGGAGTCTTGAAAGAAGAGTGGGGACGAGGGACGTAGGGAAGGGTGGTGACTTGCTCCTCCTTCTGTGGCCAGAACCACATCCCCAGGTATCTGCACGCAATGAAAGGTGACTTCAGGTGCTGATTAACCGTATTAGTGGTAACAACCGCAGTTAACTAGGCAACTGCTCACTAGGACTCAGGCATTACTCTTCCCTGTGCCCCTGATTCAGTCCTTAGCAAAGCGCTCCTGGGGAGGGGATACAATTTCTCAGAGAGAACAACTTGCCTGGGGTCCAAGAGTTAGCAAAAGGCACAGTTAGGACGCAAGCCCTGTTCCCAGGGCAGCAGTCCCTCTGCTCTCCCAGGGCCAGGGCTGGTGATCTGTCCTGACTGCCACCAGGGGTCACACCAGCCACTACAGATCAGCCAGGAAGCACAACTGGATCTAAACGTGATTAATTATAGAACTAGGGCCTGTCCAAGTTTAGGTCTACTAAAATCGCAACCCAAAACTGAGGCATTATAAAGGATTACTGGGAAAATAAAAATATGTTTAAATATTCCTCCCCCCTTTTATTCTGGCTTAAACAGGAACAAAGGCAGATAAAACAGCATGAATCCAACTCAACAGCACAACCAGAAGCTTTTATGCTGTATACCTGGCCGTTGGCCAGAAAATGATCTACTCAACTTTCCTGGTGACGACAGGAGGGCAGTAACTGTTTTAAAAACAAGGTGAACATAGTGCAAGCATTAAGACAAAAGCTGCTGACAACTGTTGGGGCTGTTCTGTTCTCTATGAAAGCGTTAAATTTTGGTTCTATGTACTAACTTTTCAATGGTTTTGATCCCCAGAATTCCCACTTCCCAAAGGACAAAGCTCAGGCTGGAATTCTTACAAAGGTTTCACAGGACAAAGTCGAGAAAGCCAGTGTGCCTCAAACAATGTTTGTATTCTGCAAGACAGTTACACTTCACTGTACAATCAACAGTACATTCACACTCCGTGAACGCCTTTTTCTGCAAATGTTTATTTAGAAAGATTTTAAAGAAATTTGAGGTGGCGACGTCGGCGGTGGTTTCTTTAGGTGAAAAAAGCACTAACAGTCACTATGGAAACCAAGACGCAGGCAACAAGGAGCAAAATCAGAGCTACACGACAACATCTGGAATGCTTCTCTTGTTCCTCTTCCTTTTTCAGTAAGGTATCAAAGCCTGGTGTGTACATGTCCCCCAGCCAAAACCGTAGGTCATTAGGGTTTTCCTACAAGAAAATTACAGGGAGAGCAGGATCAATCAGTGCTACAGATGAACTAAAATTGCAGATCAAGATGCTGTAAGTACTTTACATCCATATTCACACTGTCCTGGGTGAGGCTTAAGTGTCACAGCTCAAATGAGAGAGGCTAGGCTTCCCTGAATAGCACAAACGCATGGCTACAGCCTCGGGTGACCAGGAATCCTCAGCTCCCACCCTGAGGTCTGCATGAGAATTCATTAGGAAGTCTGTATCATTTATTGATTAAATTGCTCATATTTGAGGGTCAGAAAGACATCAGTGTTTCTGTCATTTTTTAGCCAATTCACTGTCTCTTACAACTCACAGTGTCTGTCAATCAGGTTAATGAGTTGAAATAAAATTTTAAATTCCTTGCCTTAGATGAGTCTTGGCAGTTCGATTCATTTGGCAAGGCAGGGATACAGATGTTTGGTGAGGTTTTCAGTAAATCCAGAAGCTGACTTCCACGGAAGGAGGAGTAAGACCAAGAGTCAAGCGTCTATACCATGCTTCTGTTCTTTTGGCCTTCCTTGCAGGGGGCTACGGCATGGAGCAGAAGCTCGGGCACTGTCTGCCCTTCTGAAGAAAGGACCCAATATGTCCTTCCTACCCCACATCACCTCCTATTCCTCATGGCTCTGTTTCTCTCACTGGCCTTGGCTCCCTTTCAGCTGTGCAGAATCGTCTTCAACTCAACATCCTCTCCTATGTCCAACAAATCACCTACAAACTCTACTGTCTATACATTTCAAACATATATATATATACGTGTGTGTGTATTTAATATATAATATATGTATTTTCCTATTATTTCCTGCTATGTTTCTGTGCTGAAGATTCAGTGTCTATGCCTGGCATCTAGTAGACACACAACACATTTATGGTGAATGCTGAATTTCTGTTTTCACAGACGCACTTCAGGCACCATTACTTCTCAACTGGATTGTTACAGTGGCTTGCAGCTGGGCTGCCCACCTTCTCTCTGCCTCAGGTGGACTTAGAGTCAGCCAGTTTCCACGGCTGGACGCAAGGCTAATGAACCAGCTTCGACTGTTAAGAGAGGAATGGCATGCCTGTAGGGAGCCTGGGGGGACTCTGGTGATGGCAACATAACTCCTGTCTCACATTCAAGTCTTAGAAAAGCTAAAATAGTAAAATTTGGATGCTGTGTGCAGGGGGATCGGTGATTTAAAAACCCTTGCCTCCTTCATCCTTATCCTTCATTTAGTCTGTGTCTTAATCAGAGACCCGCACTCAGCCTGCAAGTTCAATGCCTTGTTCTTCAGTAAGAACTTCCATAAGACTGTTCTCTCCTATGTTCTGCTTAGAGCTTGCCTTGGTAACAAAATACAGGCTTCTCTTATCTTTTCTAATTTAGAAACTCTTGGTAGCTTAGAAAAATGGGAGTGGCCAAGGCAAGTGGAACTTTTACGGCCCACAAGCGGTTGAAAATGTCTCAGACAGTAAGCTAGGGGCTCTGGCTGCTAATTATGAGCCATGGGCAGGGATGCGATGAAAGAGGTTGAATTCATGAGGTGTAAGAAGAGATCCTAATGAAAACAAAAGTCGTGACTTCCACAAGCATCCCTCAAGCAAGGTGAGTGCTGAGGAAGAGCATGGCGAGGTCTGTACTCGGACCTCCCACTGGAGGGGCCTCTGCTCTGAGGTGAGCAAATGTGCACGCAGAGGGCGTGCGGGGGGGGGGGGCGGGGGGTGCTGAGCCTGGCTGCAGTGAAGCAGTGCATCCAGCACACTCACGCTCAGTCCTCCTGAGCAGGCCTCATGGTACTGTGCAACCCCCAAGTTACCCCTCACCGCCAGTGATTTTCAGTCCCTTTAGCCTTACATCTGAACATTTTCTTTGAGTGTTTGTCGGCCCCCTCCCCCTGCCGCCGTTATTCTGTTCCTTCAGCTATAGCCCCAGCAAAGCTGGACTGCTTACTGTTCTGACAGGCCCTCTCACACTCTTGTATTTATGCCTTTTTTCCTGGTTACTTCTGACAGAAGAGAGCCTCCCCACTGATGCAAACACCCTAGGTCTTCTGGCATCCTACAGGCCCTTCCAGCTCAGCATACGTTAACTTTTGCGTGAAGGCTTCTTCTAATCCAGTAGGACGTGGTCCCCCTCTGAATCTGCACAGCACTTTCCACTGATACTGCTGTCACAGTCCTGATCGTGACATTAATCAGTTCATTTTTCCTAACTGTAGAAAGCTATTTCTTAGAGGTCCTGATAAGCCTGATGAAAAACACAACATTACAGTTGCCGGAGGGGGAGCATCCGTTATGGAAATGCCTCTGGAAAAGAGGCTGCAGTAACGGGGAGACACACCAAATCCTCTAGGAGAGTAAGAAACTTTAAAAATTTTGGACAGTAAGATATTTCAAGGAGTGCACATCTGAGACTAAAAAAAAAGTGTAAAAGTATAAGGGGAACAAGTAGACTTATTTACAAACCAGAAAGAGACTCACAGACACAGAAAACAGACTTATGGTTACCAAAGGGGAAAGAGGGAGGGGGAGGGTAAACTGGGAGTTTGGGATTAGCAGATACACACTACTAGATACAAAATAGGTGAAAGGTCCTCCTGTATAGCACAGGGAAACATATTCAATAATTTGTAATAACCTATGATGAAAAACAATATGAAAAGAATATATATAACTATATATATATATATAACTGAATCAGTTTGCTGTACTCCAGAAACTAACACAACATTGTAAATCAACTAGGAAAAAAAGGGAGAAAAGAAAAGACTTAAAAAAAAAAGACTATAAGGGGACATAATGCTGTTCCCTTAGAAGAAAAAACCTGCAGTTGATTAAGATTTGGGGCGTAGAACAGACATACATTGTTAAAGGAAGGGGACTTGGAAATGCAGGCCTTCCTGGCCCTAGGGGGCGGGCAGAGGCAAGTGAAGCCTGCATAGGCATCCGGCCCACTCGGAAAACAGAGGGCCAGTCGCCCTGCTTTTCAGGTATTTCTAGACCCTCTGTTTGACGGATGATACCGGGGGAGGGGAAAGAGAAAAAACTGAGTTGGGTTTAAGCTGGGTGAATGAGTTCATTGCATACTTTTCCTGTGCTGAAATGTTTTTGTTTTGTTTTGTTACCGAGACACAGGAAAATGTCCAGAATGTAAATCTGCAATCTTAAATCACCGAGTGGGCTTGAAATGAAATGATCTTTGATGAGAACTGCCTTGCACAGCACCCAAGACAGAGCAATTAATCAGTATTTTTAAATAAATGTCGAATACGGGATTCTTAAGTATTCACAGACCTAAACGATCATGAAACTAGGGGAAAGCATACTTGATCTGGCAAATGAATCTTCAAAACCTGTTACCTTCCAGGTGAACCTTTCTTTTCTACCACATCATTTCTTTCTACACTACAGAGATGCGAGTAATTACTGAAATTGTAAAATACAAGATAAGTAAATAAACACAAATACTGAGTAGGAGAGAGAAAGTGAAGTCAGAGGTCAAAGCCACCTGAAATCTGGAGATTTTGTGCTTAGTGAAGTGCTTCTCATCTCAATACTGGTATCTTTCAGGATGACTTAACTGATCTCTGTCATCCATTAAAGGAATTAATTCTTTAACCTGAGTACCTTCAGATGCCCAGAGAGGTTTGTATGCAGGGAGTGCTTGTCATATTCCTCAATGGTCCATGAAGGATTCTTTTTCCTTTCTTCCATAGCTTCCTCCAAACTTACGTCATCATACAGCGGGTTATTTTTCAGACCCGACGACAGGGATGGTGGGGGGCCCTCAGTGGCGACAGCACCTCTTGAATGAGATCCCCTCATTCGTTGAGCAGTAATATTCTTCTTTTCTCTCTGTCAGGAGGCATAGTGACAAGGCTTCTCTTACCAACGGGCCACTGATGACGGAGAAGGCAACATGAAATAACCCGACCGGAAAGTTTGCTCATTCTGCCTGGAGCCAACAGGTCAGGACAACACATGGGGAAAGAAATCTAGGATCTAGTGTGACCTAGAATCCTGTCATTAATTGAGTTCTTTCTTTGAATGTGATCTTGTTCAGCTTCAGT